TCATCATCATCATCATCATCATCATCATCATCATCATCATCATCATCATCATCATCATCATCATCATCATCATCATCATCATCATCATCATCATTTGACTGAACTCAATCTTTACCATTGCGGCTACTGATCATGTTGTTTCTGAAAGTTTAACACGTTTAAATAGTAATTATCGATAGATCTCCTCAAAACACGAGGAAACATTCTGTCATTTTACAAAACTATCCTTCTGTAAGTGCACACCGGGGTACATTTTTCACACAACAAACTGGAGTATACCATGAAGTCGTCAGTCAATGACGTCATCATTTTACAGGCAGATTTGGATCATATCATGGCGTATGGTGAGAAACAACGTTTTGCTGTCCAATAAATTTGATTCCCAAATCCCAGATAATTGCTCGTGTTCTTTAGATTTTTTTCTGCTGTTGATAAATATACCCTCGGCTCACCCTTTTAAAAATCTTTGCATTTATTTATTTGTTTGTTTGTTTAATTGTTTGTTTATTTGTTTGTTGTTGTTTTTTTGGTTTCTTTCTTTCTTTTTATTATTTATTTATAATTTATTCATTTATTTATTTACTTACTTATTTTGTGTTGTCTTTGTGAGTGAGACATTGAGGCAGACAGAGGGAAAGATTTGAAGACAACATAAAGGAATGGACTGGCAGTGACTTGTATACCACAGACAGCCGATATCAAGAACTGGTGGGACAAGTGAGACAAGTGGGACTGGTGGGAGTGGAAAGTGTCCAGTGGTGCTATCAGGCTAGCACCGCACTACGACATTATTGTCTCGGACAGAACTGTCCTGTCCCACTGTTGCTTTTTTGAATGTCAAAACAGATACCGCACTGTGACAGGACTGATCCGGCGCAAAAGGCGGCTTCTTTGTTGTTGCCCACGGTGGAGTTAACAATGTATTCAACAAATTTCCTAAATATTGTCCAAATTTATTATTTTTTAAAAAAGATTTTCGTGATCAGCGACCCAAAATTAGCAAATATCACGCGTGAAACGCAATTCCATGCACGAGTACGAAGTTAAATGTTAATAAATTTTTTTTTTTAGTGTGCGAATGTGTTTCACCATTTGGCCGGTACTAGGCCTAGATCTAGATTGCATCTTGTGTTTTATGTCTCGATTGCAATAGCCAACATCAGCATTGTTGTACAAACATGTTTACTTTCCACTGCACAAAGACAGTTTTCTATTTGGATCTACAGTGTTGTGGGTAGAAGCTTTGACCAGAGACCTAGCAACCTAAACGCTTACATTGCTACATTGCTACATTGCTACATTGCTATGTCTCTGCGTTGACTTCCCCTCAGATGTACAACGCACCGGGTGACCTTGATACACAACATCACCATTGACGATAAATTAAATAATAATAATAATAATAATAATAATAATAATAGGCATTTGT